TGGTTCACTATGTCGAAAAAGTGTGGGAGACAAAGCAGGTGTGCACTCTCGCCACCCTCGATATCCAAAGTGCTTTTGATAATATTCAGCCTGACCGTCTCCGTGCTCGTCTTTACGAACAGAGATGACCTTAAACATATGTGAATTGGGCTGCTTCCTTTGTTTTTTGCAGGAAAGTTCGTCTCAGAGTGGATGATTTTGTCGGTAATTTCTTGGATATTCCGCATGGCTTGCCCCAAGGATCCCCTGCTTCACCTATACTGTATCTTCCCTTTCTTGAGCCGTTATTTAAACTCGGGTTTCCTACATTCGGATACGTAGACGACGTAGCAATCCTCTCGGCCGCAAATGTATTTCAGATATTCATGTTCGGGGTTGAAACGTCGATGGTAGTCGGCGTAGTCCCCGTGGCCTGTTCTTGCCGCAATAAGATAATGGTACGCCCATCTTGGTAAAGCTAGTTCCGGTGGTCTTTTGCAGCGCATGAATAGGTCCAGATCTTTGTATCGTTTCGGTCGATACTTCTGCCACTACTCTTCCACGAGCTCTTGGCTGCGCTGTTTAACCCACCTCCCTGGAGGACAAGACTGAACACCTGTACGCGGTGTCCCCTACGAACCTAGGAGTGAAATATTCTCCCAGAGCCAAGTTCAGTCAAATTTCGCAATATCAAAGAAGTTGGCCCACGAGGCAAAAATTCGAATTACTCCACCATGTCAATCTTTCACTCCGAAAGAGTCCGATTCTCAACTAAGCTTCATCAAGTCTACAAGTACGACCTAGTACATCCTTATTCCAATGATCACACCTCTTGTCGACTTTCTCTGGCCTCAGCCGGTCACCAAATACACGCCCACGCCGATATTTATACCCGACGGAGGACACAAAGCGTGGCGCACAAATCTGGGAGACAGTTCTTTGGGAATTGCGTGAGAGGATTCGGGACAAGTTAACAAGATGATGCGAAGGATGGATTCAGTCTCGACGGGCGTGAGATTTCGAATTTCGGCAAGGAGTTTTTAAGAATTAAGCTTTGTGCACGCGAAGGCTTCGCTTGCGAGAGTGCAGCTCACACTATAAAAACAAGCAGACGATGGAAGTTGTAGTGATCCGCCTCCTGGAGGTGTTCTCTGGTATAGTTTGAGTAGCATGGGCACCTACTCCACTTGAGAAGGAGACAACTCAGATCACATATCGCGCGGAGAAAAGTTGAAAGATGGAGGCATGTCTGGATAACTCAGGGTTTTTTAGACGTTCCCCTGGGTGGGTATTCACGGATGAGGGTTGACTTGGGGTGAATAAAAAGCCACCATAACTTCGCAGTGGTACTTGCAAATGAAATCTGAGGCATGAGTGCTCTTCCTTTACGTTGAATCATCTATTCTGTACTTTTCTTTGATATTGTGTCATAGCTAGATAGCTGCATACGCAATTAAAGTCTGATGCAAAAAAAAAACCCCCCACTTCCCTAATGCCGCAAATGTTAGATTATAAGGATTCTGGATAGATGCCTCAGGCAGGATTTATGGGTTCCTTCTTTGGCACCACTAGGCTTTTTTTTTTTTAAAATCATTTGATGTGTATTCACCTATCTAGCTATGACACATGACCGGTACTGTGTATACACGCTGGATGACTCTTTTGACGTTAGAGACACTCATACTCTAGATTTCATTCGCAAATACCACTGCGAGGTATGCTTGCTTACACAAACAGTCGACCCTCCGTTAGTAACCACCAGAGGGACGTTTCAAAACCTTTGCTTATCCAAGCATGCCCACGTCATCCATGCATAACAGCGCCGCGAGAAATGTGGTTGTGTTTTGCTGGATTTGAACCAGCGATCTACTGCCTCAAGTGGGATATGTGTCCAAGCTATCCAGACTCTACTTGGCAGACTGGCCAAGACGATTTACCACTGCACCACCCAACCATGGCGGTATTATTAGTGTCGCTGTACTCTCGCAGCCGAAGACTTGGCACGCACAAAGCTCAATTTGTAAAACTCCTTGCCAAAATTCGAAATCTCACGCCCGTCGAGACTGAATCCATCCTTCGCATCATCTTGTTAACTTGTCCCGAATCCTCTCACGCAATTCCCAAAGAACTGTCTCCCAGATTTGTCCGCCACGCTTTGCTTCCTCCGCCGGGTGTAAATATCGGCGTGAGCGTGTATTTAGTGACCGGCTGAGGCCAGAGAAAATCGACAAGAGGTGTGATCATTGGAATAAGGATGTACTAGGTCGTACTTGTAGACTTGATGAAGCTTAGTTGAGAATCGGACTCTTTCGGAGTGAAAGATTGACATGGTGGAGTAATTCGAATTTTTGCCTCGTGGGCCAACTTCTTTGATATTGCGAAATTTGACTGAACTTGGCTCTGGGAGAATATTTCACTCCTAGGTTCGTAGGGGACACCGCGTACAGGTGTTCAGTCTTGTCCTCCAGGGAGGTGGGTTAAACAGCGCAGCCAAGAGCTCGTGGAAGAGTAGTGGCAGAAGTATCGACCGAAACGATACAAAGATCTGGACCTATTCATGCGCTGCAAAAGACCACCGGAACTAGCTTTACCAAGATGGGCGTACCATTATCTTATTGCGGCAAGAACAGGCCACGGGGACTACGCCGACTACCATCGACGTTTCATCCCCGAACATGATGATCTGAAATGCGTTTGCGGCCGAGAGAAAAGGCCCAGGCATTTTTCAGAATGCCGACCTGCTTTGCTACATTGGAGAATCTATGAGAAAATGGACCCACCTGGGGCCAGGGAAATGATAGGGGAGAAGGGATGGCAGAAGTTCATTCAATTCTTAACAACAAGCAGATGTTACAGTCTGCCGAAAAATGAACAGGGTGGGAGGTGACCACACTGAGATTGTTTCTGACCCGAGAGGAGATGAATGTGGAAGATAGGGATGCGGCGCGGGGCACCGTAACTCAGACATATACTGTTCATTTTTTTTCTTTTCTTTTGTCGCTTCTGGCTTCACTGCCGGTCATGTAGGTAGCAATGAGCTTTCAGAGCCCATCTACCCATGTCACGTCTACATAGATGTTAGGTTCTTTCTGTCACGTAAATGATTTCATATTCATATTCAAATTCAATTGATATTCTCTAAAAATATTCATCTATTTCAAGGATAATTGCTCTGTATTACAAAAGTATACACCGAAGCCCTCAGTATGGCTCACAACTAAAATGAAAGCGTACAACATGTTTTGAATTAGTCTGCTCCATCCTAATACTTTGTGTATCCTCCATTTTCCTTTATCACTGCTAGACATCTTTCGTCCATGTTAACCTCACTGTCACGGTTCGAGAGTCGATGCGGGAGCAATCAGATATACGAAGGTAGTTTATTATTTTCTCTATGCCTATCTATACAAGTCCTACCTCAACTATTTATACACTTACTATACTATCTGGAATATTCTTCTCGCCTGTAACCAGTTTCTAGTACGTTCCCCTGAGGCTGGTTCGCAGTCCTACTACTAGTTACTAGAGATTTCTAGTGACGTCCGGATTGGTCTATCAAAGAGTATTGAATTTCGAACATTTGTACAGCACGTGATTTCTGTCATGTGACACTGAATAATTACCGGCTCACTAGCCGTTACACTCACTTAACAGAGGCTTCTTCCGGGCAATGCGTCTGTGGTAACCTCTTTTTTTGAGTGCATTAAAAATTAAACATTCTCTGCATCCCCAGTGGCTGAAAGGCCCCATGGCTAGTTCCAAATAGCACATCTGTCGATTTTCAGGAGATTCCCGGACGAAAGCCTCAAGCTCATCAGCTTGTTCCGCGCTTGATTTTGGTGGGGGGCCTTTGCAAGGCATAGGATTCTCAGTCTCTCGAGCACACGCAAGTTGCACTTGCCTTCTTGTAAAGCCAAGTTCATCGGATATATGTTGTAATGTCAAGCCAAGTCTTCTTAATATTCTTCTTTCAATACATTGATCGCGAGTTAGATGCTTGCGAATTTTGGTTTCTGAAGCATATTTTTCGAGAGAAATTGTTTGCTAGGATAGATGATGAATTGATAGTGATGTTTAGAATTAAAGGCTATGTTGGTTGGGCAGTCAAGAGTGTCGTTGAAACTGTGTTTTTCTAAGCGATTGTTGGAGTAAGACGATTGGACCATACTTCATGGCGAGCGGGGTAATGAAGAGAGACAGTCTAACCTATTGCGAGCTAGCCCTACTTCGCCTATAGGGCTAATCCCCTAACCATACCAGTTCCAAGCTTAACATTTTGGAATCTAGATGCACTGTAGAGCTTCATCGTCCTCGTCAGCTGATATGCAAGAGGACTTGTTCCCTGGCTTGATCACGTTTTCGCATACATGTGACTATAAAGTCAGATGATGATATAAAAGGTTGTGGATCCGGAGAAAACTGGACGAGCAGGTTGCCAGCAAGTGTGGCACATTAGTTCAAACCCGAGATGATCAATCCATGGTCACATGTTGGGTACGGGCGCTGGTTCTCATGGCTCATGAATGAAATAAGCAGGGTTCAGAGGTCAGGCGCAAGTTGTGAAAAAGTGGAAGGGGGTTAAGTGTTCTTAATTACAGACCAAATTTGGAATAAATCAAGTATCCCATTTAGTCTCGAGCTCTTCGACATTTAGGTTTTGGTCAGAAGCCACTGGTCACCGCGTAGTCACTATACCATTAGACCACTGTACATAAAATTTTCGTCAGAACTTCGCCAATTTCATTTGCACAAAATAACCTCAAGACGGCTCCTAGCAGCCGTGGGGGTATTTACGGCGGAAAGAGTAGCTGCTCTTGCCTTTGTACTTCGCAGGTAATCTCAAACATCACAAGACCCACTGCTATCGCTCTACTTTTCACGCCATTTCCAACACTGTCTCCGCTGCGCCCACGCACTATGATGCTCTCATGCCCCTCCGCTGCCGCTCATGCGAGGCTGAAGACTGAGGTAGCGGTTCCCTCACGCTCGTCCCGTAGTCATTTCGGTCTAAATTCAACAACATGGCGAAGACTCGCCGGCCAGCGCGCCATCGCCCTGCTCGCCATCAGGCACAGCTGCGATGCCATCGTCCGCCAGCGCGTTCTTCGCGCCGACCACCGCCACAGCCTTTGCGCCGTCCAACCATCCCTTTTGCTAGTACCGAGCGGATCCTGCTTGTGAGTGATGGTGACCTCTCCTTCGCCTGCTCTCTACTTCAACACCATGGATGCACGCGCCTTATGGTCACCGTCTTTGAAAATGAGGACGAGCTAGCTATTAAGTACCCGGAAACGGCACCGGCCAACGTACAGGCTCTCACTACCGCCGCTGTACCGCTACGCTTCGGCCTTGACATAACTCAGGCCAAGCCGTGGTCGTGGGCTTGTGAAGGCCCGCACCGCCTTGGCACCATGGATCGAATAATCTGCAACTTTCCCCATGTCGGCGGCAAAACAACCGATGTCAATCGCCAGGTTCGGTATAATCAAGGTACGTTGCCCTCTCCCCATTGCATCGGTACCTCGCTCATCACCGCGCATGCGCGCGCTAGAGCTTCTCGTTGCCTTATTTGCCCGCGCTTTGCCCTGCTTAGCCCCAACACATGGCGCCTCTATTATTGTCACACTCTTCGACGGAGAGCCCTATACCCTCTGGAATATTCGCGATCTTGCCCGTCACTCAGGCCTTGAGGTTGCGCGAAGTTTCCCTTTCAATGCTAGCGAATATCCCGGTTATCAGCACGTCCGAACTCTTGGGATCGTCAAAGGCAGAAATGGCGAGATAGGCGGCGGATGGAAGGGAGAAGAAAGACCTGCGCGGAGTTATGAGTTCGTAAGAAATGGCGAGGGACCCGCAAGGGCTGCTAGCATGAAGAAGAAGAAGAAGAAGAAAGAGGAGGAGGAGGATAGCAGCAGTGAATTGGAAAATTAATAGTCGTGATAGTGGCGCTTGAAATTATAAATCAAGACCTGACCTAAATCTAGTGCTAGACAAGCCCCGCTTATAGATTAATGAGAAAGCTACTTCTAATACCATAAGATAATTCCATGCTTTCCCCCTCGCCGTTTAATCCGACCGAAGCAACTCCATTTAATGTTTACTGTGCATCCGCCTGTATGCCATTGCATGGGGCATGAGATTCCCCAGCGGCCACGGGGCTCTTGTCCACCATGGTCGAAATAGGAAGCAGAGCCTCACCAAGCATACCTTCAGGGTGAAGTGAAAACACGGGCGCTTCTATGGAATAGCCATCAAAGATAACTATGTTTTGGATTGGCTGCTGGCGAGCACCGAGAACATTAATGACATCTTGCGCAAGCTGGCCACCCAGTATGGCAGTGACGGGAACGATCTCTGTACCAATATTTTGGAGGAATTTTCGAAGAATTTCGGATCGCAATGTCTCATCAGGAAGGCCGAGGGCTTTATGCTTTTGGGTGGCGAGGCGCGTGAAGAGCTTCAAATCGTCGGCAGTTCGGGGGTAATGGTCCTGGACTTGAATAAAATTCCATAGAGCTCGGAAGCAGGAAAGAATGGGCGTGACGGCTTTCAATCGATTTCTTCTCTTGAGAAATTCATCCGGCAGGCCAGCAACGTCGCTGGCTAGGAACCATGTAGAGAAAAGTTCGCGTTTGCTAACTAGCTCGAAGGTCTTACTATTTTCTTTCTTTTCCTTCACCTCCACAACACTTCTAGTCCTAGTTTCAGTTGTAACGGATGTGTTTCGATTGCCCCTTTCTCGCTCCACCACGAAATCATGCTGGATAAGGTCGGAAAAGAGAAACCCATAGAGACCATGTACCCCAGCGGCATAGAAAGGCTTATGATTCAATCTAGTAGCGGTATTGATTATATTCAGGGTGTTAGGATGGAGATCTAAAGCAATCACAATGTCAAAGGCGCCAAAGTATTCCGCCCGCTTTTCTCGTATGTCTGACTGATCTACGATCACTTGGACTCTTGGATTCAACTTTCGGACTTGGACTGCTGCAGCCTCGGCTCTATTTTTTCCAATATCTGATTCTGATACAAAGAATTGTGCGCCTAAATCACTTTCGCTTACGAGTTCATGATCCACGATTGTAAGTGAATATACCCCGGCAAGGACTAGGTTCTTTGCGACTTCATTGGCAAGTGCCTTCATTCGGATGAGGACAACTTTGGCATTTCGGATTTTTTCTTGTGCTTGAACGCCCCAGAGGCGGATCTGACGGTCGTAGAGAGCGATCTCATCTAAATTATTTAGCTTCTAAATCTATTTTCAAAATAAATAGCTATGGCATGTACCAGCGCTTATTCCTTCATCAGCGACCCTTGGATTGTCAGCTTTTTGGCGGTTCAAAGATATATTTGGACTCAGAGGGACTGAGGTTGCCTCCATCTGAGAGTTGACTAATTATCTTTGTGATAGAAGTATTCGTAGAAAAGGGCTGAGGATAAGGCGATCATGTCGTGTTATTCACAATTTTAATCAAAAAAACGTTCTTGAGCCTGGAAATATTGCAAGTGGTCTGTCTGACTTAAGACGCAGTCGGCGACTACCTGACCCGGGAAACTCAAAGGCCCCTCCACAGTAGAACTGCCGCTTCTTTAGCGAAAGGATACCTTACAGGTGTGACCAAATCTCAGTCCAATTAAATCCACTTTATATTCAGCAAAAGTCCATGAATATCTAAATCTTGACGCAGGAAACACTGAAGCTGTTCTTTTCTAAATTTAAATCAGGGACAAAAGAAAGAGATTAACGAAATCTTGCTGATTCTACAGACGCAAGCTACTACACTTATGGTCAATAAGTCACCGTTTCTTTAGACATTCCCTCCTATATCTCTACTTCTTAACAGACTTTAACTAATTTCTACAGTCTGAAAATACTGAAGGCCCTTTTAATTCCGACTCTGATCGTGAAACAGCAGCCAGAATTGTGAGAGCGCTTGTTGATAGCATAAATTCCTCGAATGAAATAAGCACCTCTGGTGAACTTTATAGGGCTATAGGGCGCTATCATCGAATCCCAAGAACTGCACTTTACCGCTCTGGAATCTTATCGCTACCATTTACCCAAGCCATGACAACTCGCACAGATTCAGGGGAGAACCTATCTCAACCCAATGAAAATGAGAATGATAGCTCTCCACTTTTCCTCTTCCCTGTGTCGCTAGGGAGTGTAGGTCAGGCTATTACAGGCAGGACTGAATTATTAGCACTAGCTAGGCAACAAATTAGGTCTACAAGGCCATCTATTCAAAGAGACATGGAACAAGATGTAAACTTAACAGACAACATGAATGATGACTACCATGACTCTCAACGATCTAATAGACAGTTTGAACAAACAAATCTAGAGAGAACAGATATAACAGAAAATGCTGCTCCTGATGTCTCAATGACCTTACCAGAGTCTCGGCCTATTGTCGAATCCATCCATCCAAGAGTTAAACGAAGAAAATATAGCCCTGAAACGAGATCTAATACGAGATTCACAGGTTTTAACTACGGTAGATATGGTCAAGTTGAGCCTGGGAAGCTAAAAATGGAGATAGTTAGCTGCGATGGCGGAATCTTTGAAGGCACCGATACGCATCATCCAGCTGAAAACATACTTCAAAATGACAATTCAGTCTACTGTACAAAATCTAACCGGTGCAATTTAATTCTCCAACACCAAGGAGCCACAGTTTTTTGTTTAAAGGAGCTAAGTATTAAGGCGCCCCACTCCGGCTATACTGCGCCGTGAGTTGGCCATTAAACTCAAAAAATAGGAATTAGCCGCTAACAAGTCTAGTGTCCAAGAAGGCATGGTTTTTATATCAATGACTTCGGACGATCTCCTGACCAGAACAGCTCAATATCAAATACAGTATTCTCCAGCGCGTTCACGGATAGACCCAATGGACGAGTTGTTTCCTGTCTTTGATACAAGCTTAGCCCCTGACGACGGAAACATGACACCTGCTCAACTAAGAGTTCGACGCTTGTTGGATATTGGGCTCCGCGATGAAGATTGTGACTATCGCACGGCACAAATACCCATAGAATTTATTCCCGAAAACGCACCACTGTTCAGTGTAACGACTGAGTGTAGCGATTCTGATAGCGAGATTACAACTCCAGCGATGTCTCGCCGTGCAATTTCACGCAATCTCTGGCGCACACGATTACCCGACGATAGCGAAAGCAATGAAGAAGCAGCGTCGCTGTGGCAAGAGGACTATGCGCGTCGAACGGGTCAAGATAATAGAGGACAGCGCTTAAGACGGCGTGAAACGGCGAGAAGTATAACTCTCTCCGAGGCTTCAGAATCATTACCAGTAGAGATACAGAAATCAGCCAAAACTGTTGATGGCGGCCTAATGGCTCCTCACGCGAGATTCTTTATCGAAAGAGATAAGTCGAAATGTACAGTCAAATTTGATCCTCCTGTCAGTGGACGCTTTATCCTATTAAAAATGTGGAGTCCTCATCATGACTCAACCGGAAATATCGACATCCAAAGTGTAGTGGCGACAGGTTTTGCGGGGCCACGATATTTCCCAGCAATCAAATGGAGATGAGCATCTGAATACCGTAAGACATGTGGAACTTAACAACTATCAAAGGTACTAAGTCATGTGATTCTCTTTACTCATCTAAATTATAACTTGACAAGTATATTTTTGTATGATTTGGGCCATGCTCTGATTCTTCACTCGTTATCATAATTCTGGCATATTTCATAAATCTGGCTTAAAATACGCCACCATTCTACAACTGGAATGAAAATTGGTCCCTCTCACGAGTATATCTTACCTAGCGGGGACTATTTATACACAGAGTTAATGTCAAAACTCTTGACACCCACGCTATGGAGCGGCGTCAATCTTCAGACCATTAAGAAAGGACATCTCCGAATACTCATTCTCCCGACTAATCTGATTTATTAGTCTCCATATATATATACTATGTCGTTTTCAGAAAATCACGAGTCTACCAATCAGAAGAGTTCCAAATTCCAACTGGTGCTGTGATGGGAAGACTCCGCAAATCTGAGTGGAAAAATATCTGACTCAGTCCAAGTAGAGCGTGTGCCACATGCTTGGTTAGATTTCTTATAGGAATAGCCAGCCGGACTTCCCGCCTGGCTCTAGAAAGCTATCTCAAGCGCGTCCAACACTGATGGGACACTATCGCTCTTGAGGACCTAGCTACGGAAGAAGTTGAGCGGCTCTATGCGTCGCTAAAGTTCTAAGCTAGTACCAATCAATTCACGTTAGCACCAAAACGGAAAACTAGCCTGTAATAGACCATGATTCAACTCGTCATTGAGATTCACAGCCATTTACTAACAGATTTTTTAAGGGAATATAGTCGATGACCTCCAAAGTATGACGAAAAAATTCCCAGTAATCTTCAAATTTTGAGGAAGAATCTATGAACAGCGTATCATCAAGATGTATTTTTAATAATCAAAATATAAATAGACCTTCAACCAATCAAGCTTTTACCTGCAATAATTATTTAACATATTTTAATACGAAATATAATGGGGAGAGAGGACCCTGGCGGGTATTAACGGTTTATTCTAATCTTTAATGGGGAAAGCTATTTGTTGACTCATGCTCAATTGAGAAGACTAAACATGCAGACCGACTAACTAACACAATCGCGGGGAATACCACATTATCACAGCTAAAGAAAGGTGTAAATCTATAAATTTTCGATCGTTCACACCTTTTGTCCCGCAATACAGAGTCATGTGTCCCCCCCAGTACTTTTCGCTGAAGAATTGCTTACAATACTTCCATGTCTACCACCGTATTCGGAAATTTCTTCGGTGTCTTTTGGTCAAGACTAAGCGATTGTAGGCAGTAAATCAGCATGGAAGGCATGGTTTATATTTTGGTTGCGATTGTACTTCACGGACACTCACCCCTGACTACTATCAAGAGCTACTCTGGTAGCTCGCGCTGTAAAAGCTCGCGGCTGGGGGTGGAATAGATCAGTACGGGCTTCTCATCTCATCTTCAATCTACCATCTGAGAGTGGAACGATGTATAGTTCCTGGAACCCTTCATCTGATGCGGGGCATGAGGGAGCCCAAAAGTCTTGAGTAGCATGAAAGATCGACTCAATGTTACTAGTTTATGCGAGCGAAAAGGCATTAACGGATACCATCTCAGCACAAGTATGGTATGAGATTTCGAGCCATCGCCCGCAGACAAACCAGGGCGTATCCACGGCAGACTACGTGCTACAGCGTGGACGAGGAAGGCACGAGCCTAGTCAGCCAAGAAGGCGGTCAAAGGGTTCTGCATACAATATAATAAGCCAAGACTTCCGGAGAATGAAGTGACTTTTTTAAAGTTGTTGAATTTTTAAAGTCCTGAGCTGAAGTAAAAAGCTCTACATCCTGCTATTGGTACAGGACCGGCGGAGCCGGTAAGGATCACTGTATACAGCCCTAACTCATTCCAACCGCGCGAACTTCCACATAAATAATGGTGTTAACAGTAAAACTAAAATCAAATTCAGAAGAAACCCTAATTAGGTCCGGATTCCGCGCTTCTCGCCCGCTCCCTTTACTGTCACATCTTCCAAGTGATATTTTCTGACCTTCGCTGAGAGCAGAAGATGAGCTGACATTTTAAAGTGAAGTGCTTGCGGTACATTTATTGGCTCAAGGTCTTGGGATAATTGATAACAAATTGTGAGCAGACTTGTGCTTGCATAAGTCTGGATCCAGTCCAAAAGCGAAAGCACGATCTGCGTGCAGGCATGTCAGACTAGTAATGATGATCAGGGGCATCAATAGGGTAGAACTAGATATTATAGTGCTACGATGGACTCGTAGCACGGAGACAATTAATCAATTCATTCTTGTATTCGCTTTCATCTTTTGACGATTCATATGACACTCACACGAAGACCTCTCTAAGTTTTACACAAATCAACGTGAAATGCTTATCACGGGTAGGTCTCGTTGGAACGGAGTCACGAGTAGATCGAAGGTACGAGAGGACGAAGTACGGGTAGGAATCTATTAATAAGACGTTGCACAATCTATTCTAGAGTGCAACTACTTAGATACTTATACTCCATTCCTGTGCTAGCATCAATCATACAAATAAGTAAGATAATTGTGCGTCATGTGACTTATAGGTCAGGTCATAAGCGAAAACCATAGGTACCATGACAATGCTGATAATTTGAGCTTTAGAACTAAATAGAGCTGAGGGGTAGAAATGGCAGCTAGAATACACATGTGAGTTTATAAGACTCTCGCTTTATTGTGTCATGGAGGTGCCATAGATAAATTTAGTATCATCCAACTGGTAGTGTGATCTATAATCAATTTCCGGGTGATACCATGTTGCTCACCAACTTAATATGGAATTATGTGGAAAAATATCCTCCACTTCCAGTAATTATTTCTCTCGTGTTTTGTAATCGTGACCATCACCAGCACAGAATTTTAGTCTCTGTGGGTCCTCTAGAGTGAGGCCGCTTAAGCAAACAGCTGCCGTGACCTTGACGGTGCAGCTCGAAACTCGCTGGGTGTAGTGGATGATATGACGAGTTCTGCTGACGGGGTGTTTTGGTGGTATAAATACTTGAGGAAGATATACGCTGTGTGAAACGAACGCCGCGTTTCTATCTCTTGACTGGCCAATTTATAAGGCTAGTGGAGATAATGCGGATCGAAGGCATGCCTAGGATGTCTCTAGGGCGCTTCTCTCTGTGCCTTAAGAGCCTTTAGATCTCAAGTGCTTCGGTTGAGCCTCTCGTTACTGCGCCCTTGGAGCGAGGGCATTAGCTTTAACTACATTTCTGAGTTATTCCATATGCCGTCGTGCTCTAGCCAGTGCAAGCGTCATTTCGGTATTGGAGCCGCCTCAGCATAAATAGGGCGCTCTAATGCTCAGTGTGGCCTAGGTCCTGAGTGTTATATATATATAATTCTATTTCCTGATTCGGCGCCTTGAGACCCATGCATGTGTTTTATCGGAAGATATGTGCTTTAAGTAGGGAGACTCAATTTGACATTTAGAACACTCACACTCAGATTACATTTGCAGATACTACTCGAGGTTGACCCTTGCGGCGTATAGCTTCTTCCGTACATACCCACCATATGGAAAGGCATGAAAAACCTGTGGCTATCCGGGTGTGCTTTCATCATCACACAAGTGCAATATCACCGCGCGAGTGTGTGGTGAGAGAGTTTTACTGGATTTAAAAAGGCTTCCACCTGTCTCGAGTGGAGTAGGTGTTCAAGCTACCCAGTATCTACTTGGGACAACGGCGTGAATGGTGTATCACTGCACCATCCAGCCCCCTGAGTATTGTAATTAAGGGAGTGAGTTGACAGCATTATAATAAACTGATCTCGCTAGAATAATGTGCACATGCGCCATGGGATATGATTGACCTACCGTGGTGCCACGTTGTCAAGTTTGCAGTGGGGCTCTGGTAGGGTTTTAGCCTGCAAACTAACACTCCTTAGGCATAGTCACCTTCCATATTGGAGTCAGCCCCCGAATTTGTGCAAATTTTTGAAAAATTTTGGACGGCAGTTTTTATCTGGACACCATAGTCTGCAGTGGGTCTTTCCTTCGTACTAACCCTAATTTGTATGATGATCGGCTGCATAACATTTGTGCATTTTTGCTACTTGACTTTATAACTTATTTACAGGAGTTCATAGGTTTTCAAATTACAAAGTAGGGCCAGTCTTATCCTAACCTTAGATCTGAACATGTGGCTGGAATATTTTCAGGCCTTAATATCTGGTCGGTCCCCCATCCACATCTACCATAGCCTGACATCTTGCTGACATACTCTGAATGAGTCTAACAAGATCTTCGGAAGACACGGAATCCCATGCTTCCTTTACAATGTTGCGAAGACTATCTCGAGTTCGCTGCTTTCCGCAACCCAGATTCGGATGATGACGCTGGATGTAATCCTTCATCTTATTCCAAACAGCTTCAATCGGGTTAAGATCAAGCGAGTTGGCCGACCAGAGAATCGGTTGAATGAGCCTCTGGCTCATATCTTCCATTGTAATTGCGGCTGTGTTTGCAGGAGCATTATTCTGCATTACGGAAAGCCAAGATCTCATCGAGACCATGCCATCGATAAGAGGAACTATCTTCTCGCAATATTTTTGGGAGTTAATAGAACCCCATTCCTTCTCCCTAAACAAACAAGGGCCTTTTTCTGGCCCTGCGATGCAACCCCAGAACATCCATCCGACCCTCTTCTTCGATTTTTCTCCAAAACAATCAGAATTGTGTTCTTGGGAAGTCTAGCTCATAATGTTAGAGCATCAAATTACCATCTTCTTATTGAGGAATGTACGAACACTTCTTGTCACCCACTCTCTAGAATGTCTTCCATCCTCTACCCAAGTTTCGTCTGTCCATAAAATTGACGTCCAGTCTTCATATGTCCAATTGAGATGAGCTTCGGCCCATTCTCTGCGTGTCTTCATAGTTTTCTGAGATACTGGGGGCTTTAGGCGAGCCACATGTTCAGATCTAAGGTTAGGATAAGAATGGCTCCACTTTGTAAT